GAAATTGGGGTCCTGGTTTAGGTCATGAAGGAAATCCAGGATGGATTAGAGAGGTTAAATGCATCTTGGTCTTAATCCAGTTCTTTAACCACAAGACCAGTCCTGTTTTAAGTGGGGGTTTTTTTGTGTTGTTTTTTTTTCCCCTTAAATTTTCCAAACTCCTTAATTTGCAGTGTACATGAAGATGCTTTGTACAACAAAATACTCTATCATTCTCATCTGGTAGGTGTGCAGTTTCCAGTACATGCAGTATTTTGTTCAATATCTTCTTAGTTATTGGCCTACATCTTAGTGTAGTCCCCCCCCCCCCCCCCTTTTTTTTTGGCACCCTCTTAACTTACGCTTTCTGGACAGGGATACAAATTATGTTATTAGAAATGGTCTTAAAGTCTTTTCAAATGTAAAGCGAGACTGAGTGAAAACTGTTTATCTTCTGCTTTCATATGTACCTTTTACATATAACAACCACCCCCTACTAGGTTACAGTTTTCTGGCAACTGGCCTGGATTTGCAGTGATTCTGTATTTGCAAACATGAAAGCTATATGTGGTCCCAGTTCTGAAGGGAAAAAATTGTGTGGTGTTTTTTGGGTTTTTTTTTCCTGCCCTCCTCCCTCCCCCATAACAGGAGTTGGCTTCTCTTTCTTCTTGTCTTCAATGAGTGAAGTCTAAAGAAACGGGCTTCAATTTACATCTACTACATGGCCTGAGGTCATGCAAGCAGCAAACAGCTTTTTAGCAGAGGCAAGAGGCACTGTTCCAAAACACTTTTCATGTTTTGAAACTCATTGTGCAGAGGCATTTTGGCACTATTTACTTTCAAACTTCATATGTAACTGTGCCTAATAGTTCCCAAAGGTTACTCTGTGGGGTGAGAGGTGCATTCTTTCATTCAGCAGCCTACAAGTTCTGGGAGCTCAAAATTCTGCAAAGAAGGAAAATACATCTAGGTGTTTGTACTTCAGGGTGGGTTATGGAGCAAATTTGTATTCGGTTTGTAATTCCTTTGCAAGCCAAGAGCAAGTAATGTGGTATTTGTGGAGTTGGATTCATGGGTAGCTTTTTTCACCAAAGCCTAATACAGGGGTGGGCAAAATACAGCCTGCAGGCCCAATGCTGCCCACCAGGCCATTCTATCCAGCCCATGGGGTCCCTAAAAAATTTAGAAAATGTAATATTTATCTGCCCCTGGCTGCCTGCCATGCAGCCTTTGAAGGCTTGCCAAAACTCAGCCCTCTGCCCAAAACAACTGCCCACGTCTGGTCTAATAGTACTTTTCAGGCTGAGATGCTGGTTGGGAAACTGAAGTAAAGTGCCTGTGGACCTTAATTTCCAAAAGCAGGAATGAGCCATGATTTATTAGTCCAATAACAAGCTTGTTTTAAATGAGACTCCACCAAGACCACTTCAGAATTGATGCGCACACTAACTTTTTGGTGAGATCTTGTTTCATGCAGGTGGAAACCAGTAAGAATCTTGATTCTGTTTTAGAGTTCAACTTGTTTTAAAAAAAAAACCTTTTTATGACCTACATTTTTTAATTCTGTAGCAAATTCAAATATATAGTTTCACATATACAACTTTGTCTCGTATCTAAAACGCATCAGTTGTTAAATACCCTTGTGGTAAGGGGTGGGGCGTTTTGTTCTTGAAGCTTATATAAAAGGCTTCCTGCCTCCTGACCATATGGTGAGGATTCAACTGAATGTCCCTTGCTTGCTCAAACCCTTGTGTTTGTTTTTTTTTGTAGGGGACTGTAAGTGTTGCTATTAGGAGTAACAGTTTTCATTTTATTTGTTCAGGATATGACAGCGGGTGGAGTTCCAGTAGAGACAAGGATGCATACAGCAGCTTTGGTGGTCGAAGTGATCGTGGAGCAAAATCAAGCTTCTTTGACCGTGGAAATGAGTCAAGAGGAGGAAGGCAAGTAGTTTTATTGATCAGTGCAGTAAAAGCTACCTCCTTTAGCACTTGCAAAAATTTTAACGTATGCCTGTATTGAACTAGAGCTCAGTGTTAACATTCTAGCAAGTAGGGCTTGTATAATTGATTTTGGTGGGAGTGAGGTGGTAGCATGAGAAGCATGGTAGAAAAATACATTTGGGGTGAGAAGCATGCCTGTGTAAACAACTTCAGCCAAATTCCTTTAGCTTGTTGACATTGCATGTGGTGGGGTTTTTTTAATTTATTTTTATTTTTTATTTTTTTATCTCAAATGGTGCTAGACCTGGCTGTCTTCTATTACAAACAAACTACTTAAGACTAGCTGTTTGGGAGCAAATGCTTGGTTTCAAAGTGAGGTTGAACATAAAATTAATTTAATAAAACAATTGGGTAAGATTCTTGCAGGTTCTCTGCCTTACTTGATCAGTTTTAAACACCTTATTCCTTGTATGCACAAATGTGGGGAGTGACCTTTTTCGACAAAAAAAGCTGGCGTTAGTCCTGTATCCTGATTTTTCTCAAACATGGGTTGCCAGACCTATAACTAAACACAATCCAGGTAAGGACTGTTTCCACACCTTTTTATCCCAAGTCTGTTATACAGGTAAGATCCCTCTTTGTGAAATGTATAACAAAGAGAAGTGTATTGAAGCTCGACAATTCCATTTGTATGAGCACTTGAGTAAAATATAGGAGCAAGCTAAATTTGACAGTCATTAATCTGGACATGGAAGGCATTCAGATGGCATGAAAGCTGCATGATTTTCTTTAATGCCTCCCCCTCTTTTATAAAACTCTTGCCTTCTTAGAATAGGCATTCATTCTTCTATAATTCTGAATTCAAACCCCTCATAAAAAGCAGAAAAACAGACTAAACTTGGAATTGCCATTCTCTAGGCAAAATATTTTTTTCAAATTTATTAGTGGACTTGGTATCTAAAAATGTATGATAGTCTCTCAACTAAGACGGTAGTGAGAATACTGAGCGGCTAAGTGTATTTTTCTTCCACACTTGCCTCAAAACTCAGCCAGTTTTTGTGTTTCGGTACACCTTTTATAATAAAGGCCCAAGGAGTAGGGAGATCCTTTCTCTCTCTTTAGTTGGTATGACTACATACATGTTAGGGCTAAGTGTTGCATGTAAGATAGATAAGCCACCTTTGTGGAGCATGGCTGCTAAGTATTCTTGCTTTTGTCTAGGTATGAGGATCGTGGAAGAGGTGGTGACTATGATAGGAGCGGGTTTGGTGGCAGATCTGACCGTGGATTTGGAGGTGGGTCACGCTGGTCTGATAAATCTGATGAAGACGACTGGTCAAAACCACTTGCACCAAGTGAACGTCTAGAACAGTTGAGTATTTGGGTTCCTTTAAATGCTGTCACTCTGCCAGTTGGATGACATGGGTATTGTATGACACTTACTTTCTGCTATTCTAGAGAACTCTTCTCCGGAGGCAATACTGGCATTAACTTTGAGAAATATGATGACATTCCCGTTGAAGCAACAGGCAACAACTGTCCTCCACATATTGAGAGTGTAAGCTTTTTTTTAAGGAGTCTACTACTTCATCTGTTTCCTCGGTGTTGCATGAATGCATTCTTTTTAGGTGCAACTCCAATGAACTGGGGTCTCAAGACATTAGTAACCGTTGTTATATCCAGCTTTTTGGTGCATAAAGAATATGATGCTTCAGTAGAGTGGAGAGCTCTGTAGTCCAGTGACATGTTGGTGAGGTAGAGCAGAATCCCTGGGCATTGCCCAAGCAAGTCAAGGGTACTAGAAGGGAGTTAAGGCATGGGTTCTCAGCAGACTTGAGCCTCCCTGCAGTGACTGACAGTAGGGGGAGGGCTGGGTGGTGGTGGCGGCGGCGGCACAGTATTTGGACAGTAGCCAGATATTCCCTGCTGCACCAAATACTGGTGTTCAAATAACTGATCTGCACAAGATGATAAGAAAAAAAAAAAAAAAGTCACAAAGAAGGTATTGCTCACCAGGGGGAAAGAAAACAGCCTCCTCCCTTTCTTTTCTGCCAAATACTTCTATGACCTAATACAAAACGCTCCTGCATGTGCACTCTGGTGCAGGGTGAACTGCCTCAGGTAGGGTAGGGGATGCTGGGCCCCAGGGTGCTGGGATTTCCCAGTATCTAATTTTGTTTCCATGCTGCAAGTGTGCTGGAATGCACACGTGTATTCATCTAGATGCATCCTTTATGGTCACATTAACACCTTGGCTTACAGCCAGCAAGCAGCTTATAGCAAACAACTTTGCTTGGAATTATCACTTTGTAGAGATCATCTTTTAAATCTTCAGTATTGTTAAACAAGAAAAAACTAACTCTTCTGGCATTAAACCTGGCTCTTACATAAAGCTAGCATATCTGAATTCCCAAACAGAATGGATCGGGCAGTTCTACAAGTCATTCATTGCAACCTTTTTCATAATCTTACAGTTCAGTGATGTTGACATGGGAGAGATCATCATGGGAAACATTGAGCTTACTCGATACACCCGTCCCACTCCAGTCCAGAAACATGCTATACCTATTATCAAAGAAAAGAGAGATCTGATGGCATGTGCCCAGACAGGTATGTTTGTAACTGTAGGTTTTCAGTTCCCATTGGGAAGTGGGTGGGGAAATGATAAATCTTCAAGTGACAAATATAAGTAATGGTTTACCTTCTTAGCAATATTTTTATGGCTTGTATGAATGTGAAGTTCTCTAGAAAGTTTATTTTTGTATTGGAAACTCCAGATTAGTATACAACAAGATTGTGGATTGAGTAACCAGGTCTTTTCCTGAGGGGCAGTTGTGGTGGCCTTCTCTTAATACTACACTTCTGTGTACTAAACCTTAATGACACTAGTCTTCAACTAAAGAAATGTTCAGGTTCTGTTTATTTCTGGGCTAGGAATTACTCTGGCTTTAGATTTTTTGCTAGCAGGATCAGTATTACTGGGACATGGGTGAAATACAGTCTTCTTATTTCTTGTTAATACAAAAATTTGCTTTTAGGTTTGATAATGGCTTCTGTGAAATACCATAGATATGGTATTGCAGATGACAGTGTACTAGTAGTATTGACTTGGATCTGTTCTCAAGGATAACCTAATGTTTTACTGTAATAGGGTCTGGGAAAACAGCTGCATTTCTTCTGCCGATATTGAGTCAGATCTATACAGATGGCCCAGGTGATGCTCTGAGGGCTATGAAGGTAAATATGTAGTTTTGGAACTTGGATTCCAAGCGCAGCACACTAAAAATACTGTTCCTACCTGCTGCTGTTTGATGCTTACAATTTTAATATTTTAATCTAAAGCAATGATCGCTTTGAAACTGATGCAGGTTAACAGTACTTTAACCTCATTAGTGAATACTTTCATGGGCAGACTAGCAGTTGATCTGAGGGCCCTGCTCTACACATTCAAATCTATAGCTGGTTTCTATCCAGTTTTGAGTTGCACATTTTTCAAACACTAATTTTATAGCTAGTTATCTGTTTCTAAAGCTCTAGTTGCTCCTAATGTGATGATTTGCATGTGTAGCTGGCATGATTAACCAGTTAATTGCAGAATATTTCTAATGTGTAGCAAGGCCCTGACTTAAACATTGCACTTACTCCATAGTACTGTTCCATCTCAGTAACTGTCAGGATCTGGTAGCAAAAATCCTAAAACAAAAACTACTTGAAATCCAAATTTTAAATTTTAACTGATGTGGCTTTTGGTTAGTAACTCCATAGGATGCCTGCCTTTTTTTCAAGGGACATAGTCATTTGGATGGTAAGTGGCATAATGCCATGCTGTTAACACTAAAGTTTGTAAATTGCAGGGTAGGAGGGAGTTCTGTTTTGGATCTTCATGAGAACTCTTACAATGATCTGTCATAAATGGCTATGTTCCATCAAATCTTTGGCAAATTTAGTATTTACTTTAAATGTTCTGTTCTTCAGGAAAATGGAAGGTATGGACGCCGCAAGCAGTACCCAATCTCGCTAGTTTTGGCACCAACAAGAGAACTGGCTGTGCAGATATATGAAGAAGCCAGAAAGGTACATTTTTGCCAACTTGTCAAAATAAGCATTCTTGTGAAAAGAAAAGAATTAACTAATTTTGTCCTTTACAGTTTTCCTACCGTTCCAGAGTTCGTCCTTGTGTTGTCTATGGTGGTGCTGACATTGGGCAACAGATACGTGACTTGGAACGTGGATGTCACTTGCTTGTTGCAACTCCAGGGCGCCTGGTTGATATGATGGAAAGGGGAAAGATTGGATTGGATTTCTGCAAGTAAGTTAACATTACACTTTTGTACCTGAATGTACAGGTTACAATTTGGGAAGGAGTTGGAATTGGCATCTAGCTTTTTAAGTTGAGGAACATCTTCTAGTTAAGGTTAAAGATGCTTGAGATTTATTGTGTGGCTTTTTAGGAAAGGCAAAACTAACGATAACAGCAGTCTTGTTGGCTTTGAACAGCTAAAAAGTCCTTGTATGGTGAAATCTGTGTCTTCTGAGTAATGAATCCAATCCCATTTCAACACATGAGCATTGACATAATCTTTTGGCTTCAAAACTAACTCCCCTTCGATAGCTTGCCCAACCTACTTAATGTAGTTCTTTTAAATGGCATCTTACAACATACTAAATAGGTGCTTGTAGCCTTTCCCTGACCTTCCTGCAGCACCAGTTGAAACATCAACCCTTGACCAGTGTCATAAATATTTAGGATGTACATAAACTGATTTAACAAGTACCTGCTGACCTAGATCTGGTTATCTATCTACTTTGAGCCTGTACTCATGGCATACCCCATTAAATGACCAGTATCCAACTGGAACCAATAGTCTGGTTCAGTGTTGCAGTGCTGGGTTAATACTTATAAAGGCGATTTGTCTGTTGGAGGGAGGATTTTGATGACTTTTTTTATATATATATATATTCAAGGTATCTAGTATTAGATGAAGCTGATCGTATGCTTGATATGGGGTTTGAACCTCAAATTCGTCGTATTGTTGAACAAGATACAATGCCACCAAAGGGTGTTCGTCAGACCATGATGTTTAGTGCCACTTTTCCCAAGGAAATCCAGGTATTTGCCTTGATTTGGTTTTTCCTCAACATATAGTGGCTTCTGAAATTTAATCTGTCTTCTGCTGAAGGAAGAAAACTCATCCTCCTTTTTTTTTCTGTAGATGCTTGCTCGTGACTTCTTGGATGAGTATATCTTTCTGGCTGTTGGCAGAGTGGGCTCAACATCTGAGAACATCACGCAGAAAGTAGTGTGGGTGGAAGAGATGGATAAACGGTCATTTTTGCTTGACCTCCTAAATGCTACAGGTAAAGGCTCTTGAAGAATTTCATTATAGTTGCTGATGAATGACTTTTTTTGTAAAGTACAAAGCATCCAGTGACCTGCAAAAACATGGAAAAAAGGTCCAAGAGTTTTCTTCTAAAGTGCATGTAAATACAAACTTCAAATAACAAATGTTGGGAGGGGGAAGGGAAAGAGCACAGGTAGCTGAGGGTGAAAACCTAAGTACTTAATGGGGCTAAATATTTCCTAATGTAGTCTTGCTAGTAAGCCTGTCTTAACTTCCTATATTAGGCAAAGATTCACTGACTCTGGTGTTTGTGGAGACTAAGAAGGGAGCTGATGCTTTGGAAGACTTCTTGTATCATGAAGGATATGCTTGTACAAGTATCCACGGAGACCGCTCTCAGAGGGACAGAGAGGAAGCACTGCATCAGTTCCGCTCAGGCAGAAGCCCAATTCTGGTTGCCACAGCCGTAAGTAAAACCTTCCTATAAGGTGCTTGTATGAAAAGTTCTTTTGCCTATAATACATCAGTCTTTTTTAGTAAGAAACCAACTGATTCTCTTTACTACTAGGTAGCAGCAAGAGGATTGGACATCTCAAATGTAAAGCATGTCATAAACTTTGACTTGCCAAGTGACATTGAAGAGTATGTACATCGCATTGGTCGTACAGGCCGTGTGGGAAACCTTGGTAAGCAATATCTGAAAAGCATCTGACTGCTGCTGCTAAAAGATGACTTACTGTTTTAACACTTAAGGTTGGCAACTTCTTCTCTAGTAACCCTGCTTATAAATTCCTGTGACAAGCAGGGTTTTCAGTTTCTCATGGAAAAACAGAGAAAACCATGGATTTCCTGCTTTTATCAGAGAGAATGCAGATTTTTTTTTCTCTTAGCAGAGAAACCCATGGACTTCCCACTTTTTGCCTGCAAAAAAAAAAAAAGAGCTATGCAAGCTGGCTGAGTTCCTGCCTGCAAGAGCTGTTCGCAAAAAGGCAGAAAAGCCCCAAACCTGCCTGAAGGGGAAGGGCAGAGCCTGCAGCTTCTAATCGGTGGCAAGGCTTGGGTCAGGCTCGCTTATCAGTCCCAGGCTCCAGGAAGAAAGTGGGGCTGGGGGGGGGTGTGCAGGGCTGGGATGGAAGCTGGCTGGGGCCTGAAGGAGCAGGGAGGTGTTAGCAAAATACAAAGTGTCTGGCCAGAGCTGCTTTGGTTTCGCATGCCCACAACTGGGCACTTCAGCTGCAAGCCTGGAGGTGCTGGGGAAATGCACAGAGTGCCCAGCTGGTTCCATATGCCCCTGGCCAGACACTCCAGCCACAAACAGGGACATGTGAAAACCAAAGCAGCTCTGGCAGCCCTTAAGGGAAGCTGCACATGCAGGTGCTGGTGGGGTGGTGTGGAGCTGGCTGAGCACCCTGTGCTTACTCCTGGAGGAGATCTGTGCAGGGGAGCAGGTTATAGGCTCAAGCTTCCACCCTGCCCCCCTTTTGTGTGGGGCTGCTGTAGCCCTGCAGGCACAATCCAGCACAGTTGGGAACAGCGGGGCAGCACCAGGATCTCCTGGAGCATGTGCCTGGCAACACACCTGTTTTGCTGTTGCCTTGAGTGGCAGAGCCCTGTGCCACTTCCCTCAGTGTAGCCCTGGGCACAATGCAGAGCAAGCAGCTGCTACAAGATCCCTGTGTGGCTCCTCTCTCTCCAGCCATGCCATGCCATGCCCTCCACTCCCCGCAGTCCACGTGCTATGGGGGAGCCTTTAATTTTAATCACAGATTTTGAAAGCCAGGATAAGCATTTAACTTACTGATGCTACCTTTGTGCTCTGAGGGTCCTATACAACAACGTGGCTCTAACAGTAACACAAAATTATCATATGTCTGTAGAAGTTTTGGCATATAAAGCACTAGGAAGGCAGTTAAACTTCAATGTGTGTGCATGCACTTTCATTCTGAAACTTGAGTTAGTTGCTTTCTGGGCCTGTGAGAAATGCTGACACAGTTGATAAACCTATTAATGATATAAGAAGACCTATTGGTTGAACATGTATTTGGTAGTCTTACCCAAAAGAGAGAGAACTGGAACTTAAATTGGTCTCCAACTTCCTAGCTTTGTGTTTTTTAATGAGCCTAAACCAGGATGACCAAATGCAGTCTGGACTAGATAAGCCTGTGAACTGACTCTAGACCACTTCTCCAGCTTATGGAGTTGAACAAGTTGGTCACCGCTAGTCTAAACCTCTTAGCTGGTGGCATACCTTCTCAATAATAGTTGAAAGTTAGAATTTAGGTGTCTATATGACCACTTAACTCCTTGTATGCTAAACCTCTTTTTTCCCCAGTAAATACCCTCTTTCTTTGGAGGAGAAGGGGGGAGTCTTAAAACCCAAGACTGATACTAACACTTAGCCAAAGTAGTTGCACCAAGAAAGCATTCCATGTTTCCTCCTTAATTGGGGTGGAGGAGGACCTTGGTTAAGGGATGTTGGGCAGCATTCAAATTCTACTTCTGGGCACCTCATTCTTTCAAAGTAGAATAAGCTTATCTTGCTATTCCATGTGCCAGCTGACTGGCCTCTTCCAACTTTCAAGACCATATCACTGTGTAGATGATTAGATCAGAAAGCACTTAAGTAAGAAGAAAAAGTTGTTTCATTCATTAACCGTTTTTTTTTGTTTGTTTGTTTTTTTAAGGTCTTGCCACCTCATTCTTCAATGAGAGGAATATAAACATCACCAAGGACTTACTAGATCTCCTTGTTGAAGCTAAACAAGAAGTGCCATCTTGGCTGGAAAACATGGCTTATGAACAGCTTCACAAAGGTGGTGGCAGTCGTGGACGTTCAAAGAGGTAAGTTTCTCCATGTGTTGGTCATAAGCGTACATAATCCATTATCAGTCCTTTTAATTGATGGTTTGGGTTCCTGTAAAACACCTAGCTATTAACACTTGAACACTGGAAGTGAGTATCTGATTGCACAGTCTCCTTCAAAGAAAGCTATATTGTAATTTGAAGAGTCTCAAAAAGCACTTGTGAAGAAGTTACAGTAGAGTTGAAAGATGACCCCATTGCTAAATATTTAACTACAGTGTAACTTGCTGTTCTGGAAATCTCCCAAGATCCAGTAAATCCATCTGCTTTAAAACGTCCTGAAAAAGATCTCTGAAGCTTCAGAAAGTTAAAGGCGTAGTTGGTTTCTCTCGGTGAATGAAAATAGCTTTTATAAATGATTACATACTTTGTATTAAACTGATTCCACTTCCCATATTTATTATAATGTGAAAAGCTGACCTGCAGCAATTTGGTAGTTCTAAGGCAAGGGATATGACATTGTTTTTTTGTATGACATCCTTGTCTTTCTGTCTCATTGATTCGAAACAACTTCCATGCAAGGAAACAGTTATGAATGATGCAGCAGAATAAATCTAAAACCTAATGACTCCAGAGGCAGCTGTCTTCAGTGAATATGGGCATCTTCCATTTTCTTTCTACTTGGCTAGTATGGCTCTGCAGCTGTATTCCTTACCGCCAGTGGGATAGGAGTTGTATGGGTTATTTACTAAGTCCATTTGTTGGTTAACATGGCAAGACTAATTCTACCTGCCAACGTATTCAACCAAGAAACTAAGCTGTGTGGCTGGAATAGGAACCTCTTCCTTGGCATCCACCAGTGCCATGCTACCAGGTGGCAAGCTTATAGGTATAATGGAGTGCAAGTTTCTGGGTATAGGTACAAGAGTGCCAGCAACATCAGTATCTGTGAAACTGGACAAAGACTGCTATATTTTGCTATCTCAAGTCTGATTTCTTTTTTTCTAAAAGGTAATCTAATAACTATATGAGAATAACCATGGTGTTGCTTGCTTCCTTACAGTAGCAGGTTCAGTGGAGGATTTGGTGCCAGAGACTATCGAACAAGCAGCGGTTCCAGCAGTAGTAGCTTCAGCAGTAGTCGACCACCCAGCAGTCGCAGTAGTGGAGGCAGCAGAGGATTTGGAGGTAAGTCCTCGTGTTGGAGATGAGTGGGTAGGCACTGTTTACCACTGTAAAACAACTCCATGTTGCATTTCTGATAGGCTTGCTCCTTTATAGTAAAACACTAGTGTAGGAAGTAGCATTTCTTGGGTAGAACTAACTCCTGTGTATGAGCCGTAGTGCTTAGTTTGACGTCAGTCATTGGGCCCCCTAGTACACATTTACTTTAAGCTCCATGGGAATCTGGTCCCTGATATCAGCAATGATGGCACACCTGGTATGGCAGGAAGCACAGTTGAGGTCATGGATCAGCTCTTTTTCTACACTCCAGTGCAGGCTCTCTGCATCAGCATGTTGAAAGGTGGGTACTTGCAGCCTGGCATGACCCCTGGCATTCCCCAGGCTGGCAGTCAATAAACATGACTTATCCTGGGCCTGATTCCAGACCGCAAGCTGTTTTGGGGTTGCAGACAAGAAATAACTGATTCCTAAGGTGCCATGTGAACAGCCCTAAGCTGGGTGCATGTGTAGCACCTTGCTGTTCCATGCCTATATAGTAAGATTAAATAGCCTTACACCAGGTTAGAAGTCACAAGGGTGCCCCATATGTATCATCTGCTTGCCTGCAGTCTTGGCCACACAGGAGCTCTTCATAACCTTTTAATCAGCATATAGCACTGGACATGGAGGTAATATAAGTCATTTAATCTCTGAAAGTTTAGTGGCGTAACATCCTAGGGGATGGATTTATAGAATACAAAAATGTTCTAATATGTAAATGCGACTGACTGGCATCTGTTTTCCTTCTGATTTTAGGTGGTGGTGGTGGTGGTAGCTACGGAGGCTTCTACAACAGTGATGGATATGGAGGAAACTATAACTCCGGGGGGGTTGACTGGTGGGGCAATTGAATCTGTTTGCAGCAGACATCCTACCAAACAAGCTAATATGGAAACCACATGTAACTTAGCCAGACTATACCTTGTGTAGCTTCAAGAACTCGCAGTACATTACCAGCTGTGATTCTCCACTGAAAATTTTTTTTAAGGGAGCTCAAGGTCACACGGAAACAAAAGGAACAAGCAGCCCTATTTTGAAGGTGGTTTGAAGACTATTGCTGTAGTCAGGATTTAACTCCCCTCCCCCCCCCCCCCCCCC